ATATATGTATATACGCACACAAGGGTAAGAAAAATAATTACACGCTCCGACACTGACTCTTTGTTTGATATTTCTCAAAAAATACATAGAGTATACTAAAAAAATACAGAAAATGTTCATAAATTTTTGTAAATTTAGAAGAGTTTAGACCGTACGATTTCTGCTACATATCAATGACGTTTAAAGTTTTTAAAGTTTGAGGGGCCGACAATGATGTACAAACGGAAAGTTTTTTTTAAACACCCTATGCCAGAAAGGGTAGTAATAAATTTGGGACTTATAACAGTTATTTTGGTAATTATGCTCAATAATTGTACAACATTTTGTTAACCAAGCTTAAATATTATTTGAGATATAGACATTTTTATAAATTTTTCTTTTTTTTTTTGTCTTACGTTTTTTTTGCTATAACTTTGAAAATATTCACCAAAGTTAAGCAAAACTTTTGATCAATTTGAAATTAATTACAAAATTGCTTTGAAACTTGAAAAAGAAATTCGTTAAAAACAGCGCAAGTTATAAATATTTAAAGTAGTTCTTCTACATTGCGCATGCACATTTTTTCCTCAGTTTTATATCCGAAAACTAATAAAAAAAAGCCCGATTTGAGTATCTTCAAAATTTAAAAAGTTTCAAGCAGTTTTCAAAATGTTTTTCTCTCTTAAAAGAATGTTCAAAATGATAAGGGATTTTCTTTTAATTTCATTTTGTACTATTAAGCATGCTTTATTAAAAATGACTCCGACGTTGTCGGGGGATCATCCCCAATAGAAGTATCTTTTCTTTCGCATGCTTTATTTCCTAATACCATCATATTTCGTTGTCCGGATTATCACTAGAAGGATATTATCATTTGTTAATAAATCTTGCTTAGTAGTACAAAAGGAAATTGGAGGAAAGCCACTTATGATTTTGAGCTTTATTTTTAAATGTAAGAAAACTACTTAGAAAATTGCTGGAAACCTTTCAAATTTTTAAGATATTCTAATCGGACTTTTTTTAGTTGCCTTCTTATTAGGTTCACTACAAAATTAAGAAATTTTTTAAAAAAAATATTTGCTGCGCATGCGCAGTTAATAACAAACTATTCTTAAATTGTAAAGCATAATTTGAAACTAATTCAAAATTGATCTATAAGTATATTTTGTTTTATTATATATTTTTAAAGTTATAGCTAAAAAAAGACAAAAAGTTTGTTTCTTTATAAAAATGTCTAAATCTTCTGAAATATTTTAGTAAGGTTTACGAAAATTTGTGCAATTATTGTGTATAATAATCATAATAAGAAACATAAATTGCAAATCTATTGCTGCGTTTTTTGGCATAGGATGTTTAAATTTTTTTTCCTTTTGTAATTTATTGTCGGTCCCTCGAACCTCAAAAATCTTAAAACCTCATTGGCATGTATGAGAAATCTCACGGTCTAAACTCTTCTAAATTTATAAACTTACTCTTTAAGTATTTTTTGAGAAACATTAAAAGATGTGTTAGCATCGAAGACTGTCGAAGATGAAAACTGTCGTGACAAGGAGACAAGAAAAAATTAAAGAAAAGAGAGATTTACCAAAAAACATCAAGGGAAAAGTATAATGAGTAAGATCGATTTCCTAATTTATGCTTAGTTGCAGAACTTTTTCTTTAAAATTCATTTATGTCTTTTGCGATAGTTTTGCACGACGAGGCAGTTCTTAAACATTAGTGAAGCACACACACTCACAGCCCTAACAAAACACAAGGCTTAGACAGTTTTCCCGTATAAAATAATGTTTTTGCTCTTATTGCAGCCATCAAACCCTCAAACACGCTGTTGTTGTTCATTTTTGGCGTAGTTCTTAATGTGTTTTTAATAAATGCGTAAAATATTACCACAAAATGCAGAAAATATTTCATAATCTTTCAAAAGAATGTGCAAAGTTTTAAGTGTGCATAAAAACGAATATAGCTCAGTAGGCATGTTGAATAAAATGAACATATATATATATATATATATACATTGCTCATTTCTATAACAATACATATGTCCTTTAATGATGAATTGTTCACCAATTTGAGTTTAAGTGATGAAAAACTTTTTCTGAAAAGGACTGCTGTATTGTTATAGNTATATATGTATATATATATATATACGCACACAAGGGTAGGAAAAATAATTACACGCTCCGACACTGACACTTTGTTTGATATTTCTCAAAAAATACATAGAGTATACTAAAAAAATACAAAAAATGTTCATAAATTTTTATAAATTTAGAAGAGTTTAGACCGTACGATTTCTGCTACATATCAATGACGTTTAAAGTTTTTAAAGCTTGAGGAGCCGACAATGATATGCACGTTTGAAAAAATAGGAATAGCTTGATATGCGTATTTAAAAAAAATCGACGAAGCTCAAACAGATTATTTACTAAGTAAAGAGTGTGAGTCAAAAATATAGAAATAGCTTGTAATGATTATTTATAAAAACAGATAGTTGAGATTTTTAAAAAATAGAATAGCTCCATATTTTTTTAAATTTAGTTTTAACTATACATTCACATTCTCGATAACATATTCTCGTTAAAACGATATTGAATTTTTTTTTTTGAAAAAAATTCACTCTTAATAAATATCACATATGTGATCACGTTAAAAAATTTCATATTTTTGTTCAAAAAATTCGAAATAAAAATTCCGCAGTCGCAATTGATGTGTTCGATTATTAACTTGAATTTTTCTTCTATTACAAGTTTATTAACTACATAATTTATTTAAATAGGTATAAAAATATTATATTTATTGAAATATGTGTATTGATTCAATTATGGGTAAAATTTATTTAACAGTAGAGTGCTCCTACCACTTTGTAAATTTTTTATTTTCTTGCAGAAAATAGGGAAACGGATTTAGAAATGAAATTTTCTATTAATAGATATAAAAATTTGAAAAATGGAGGATTTCATATACATTAAAAGCTCCATGTTACAGGATGCAATGCAAAGAAACATCCTATTTTATACTCTAATCCAACTATGATTTTTCATTTAACGTTGATAGAATCGTATGAAAGGTGAAATTTAAAATTCAAGCAGTAAATTTAAAATATCTTATTAAATGAGTTGTATTTATTTTGTTTTAACAACAACAACAAATAGAAGAAAAACAATTTTAAATATTTAATCATTAATATCCGTATCTTGCGTATCCCAAACCTCCTAAGCCGAGTCCTTCATATCCCACATAAGGTCCTCCATATCCACCATAAGCTCCACCATATCCAAGACTTCCGTATCCTGCGCCAACGCCTCCATATCCGTATCCAAGACCGTATCCTGCAGTTGCTGCTGGTACACCCAGGTATCCTTCACCACCAACATATGGAGCATCGGAGGCGATGAGTACTGCGGCTGGGTTCTGGTTGGCGGTGCCTGGTTCGTTGGTCTGGACCTTGGCTCTGAATCCGGCTTTGTCAGCGACGTAGTTCACTTGTCTTTTGATTCCTCGGGCATCGGTGAATCCGTAGCTACCGACAACGTGTTGTCCTCCAGTACCGGATTCTTCTCTGTGTTGCTCTCCGTGTTTGTCTTTGATGCTGTATCCGAATTTGTAGGGTTTGGGTGCATAGTGCTCATAGACTGGGTATTTGTCATCGACAATCTAGAAATGGAATAAAAAAGAACTTTTTAAAAATTGTAGTTAGCACTTATTTAATTTCAGTTAGCATTTCAATAAATAAGTCACTATGAATATTAATGAATTCTTCGCATATTCCGATAGCTGAAATTTTTATTTGAGCAATTATTAGTTGGAGTTAAGACAATTTTCAGATTCAAACGATCATCACCAAAATATTGGGCTAGTTCCAATGAAATTTGGTATAAACGAAAGTTATTAGATATAAAATAAATGTATTCTTATTAATATCATTTGTTCTTATCAAATTTTGTTCATGTCAAATCTTGTTCATATCAAATTTTGTTAAAATTTGCTCACTGGTTCTCGAGATAATTGACCATATTTGAAATTTCTCATAACCTTTAACACTAGTGCAGGGCATGAAATTTCTACTCAGTAGCTCACCATATGTAGACTATCGAATATTTAGGGCTAGTGTGTAAGCAGCAGAGTTTGACTCTAGAGTAATAGTTTGACTCAAGAATAACGAAGTCTGAGAGTTACAAAGATAGGCTCTAGAGATGCAAATGACGGACGGTATTTCTGATATTTTAATTTTCAGATATTTTTCCGACTTAAATGTCTTTTAGTAACATATGGATGATATTAAAACCGTTAAGTCTTTACAGGTACTTTATTTTAAGTTAATATTATTATTACTTTGCAATAAATGCTTTTTTTCTTTTTAGTTTAAAGTTATAGTTTTCAAAAGTAATAAGTTTTTTTGTTAATTCCACGCCTGTTAAGATTTTAGAAATCGTTAATACTTTTCTCTAAAATACTGACGAGTAAAAATTTTTGTCTTGGGATCACCTTTAGGACTAAAATTTCATGCCCTGTATTAGTGACATCATGACATCAATCAACCGGCCGTAATAAAATTATTATGAATAAGATGACACATCTATCTCATTTGCAAAGAATATTTAGTTTACGCTGAACAGCAATCCAGCTTTTGAAACATATAACCATTCGTCCTGTTAACTCTCTCGATGTATCGTGCTTCGATGCTAGAATTAATATATTTAAAGAACACAATTGTGTGATGTTAAAATTAGCATCATTAACTGCGCTGCCAGAAATTTAGCCGAAAAAATGGTTAAATGACTATTTATTTAAAAGTTATTTTGCCATATTCAAACAGAACAGTCAAGTAATCATGAATTAGATGATAATCAAACTGTTAATTGTGAAAATAACCGTTTAATAACAGCTTTCATCTAATACGGTTAAATAACCAGAATTTTATCTTACTAAATAAGCCCACTAGCCACTTAATTCTTTGCAGCTGAGTACATATTATAAATCTGTAATAAAATAGAATAAAATGTTTGCTGAGAGCTAAGATTAATATTTGCCATAAGAATTTAGGACTCAAACATAATTCAATTCAAATTACAAATTAGTTATAAATTGAATTGAAAATTAAGTAAAGTTCAAACTAATTGAGAAAATTTACAATGTATTTTAAGAATCGTCTCTAAAATTTATGCTGATATCAACTGCGTCATGGTCGCTTTTTTTTTCTTTGTCGTATGCCTGTTTAGGCAGTGGGGGTGCGATTGTTCCTGTTTTTCAGTGGCGCCATCTATGGTCAGGAATTCGACTTCTGCCACGCCATTCACACAACCGCAACCCGTTTATAGGGCGGGTAACATTCACACACAAAAGAGAAAGGACATAGAACACACAGAGAGAGAAAGAAACATCCATGCCTTGCCCGGGATCTGAACCCAGGACCTTTCTGATGCAAGGACAGTTCCCTGTCCCCTACACAAGTCCGTCGGCATCGCTTTTGTTAATTAATATGAATAACAGTGATAATTTTATGAATAAAGTTTTATAATTACTTACATATCCGAGATGGGCAAGTGATACGCCAAAGAAAACAAGAAACAGGAAGCACTGTAAAATAAATACAGTCAGAAGTTAGTTTAATCTGTACAGCATTTTTACCGTGAAACTCTGATGTATGGGAGTTTAAATACATTTAAAATATATCCACATTATAAATTTAAAAGATTATATATTCTAACTACAGGGCTTTGAGTTTTAGTTTAAATTGTTTTCAATAATATTTATTTGTTTTCTTTTAAAAATTGAGAGAATTATTTTTACTCATACAAATATTTTTTTCAAAATATTTGTTAAAATATTTGTCTTTAAAAAATCATTCATACAACAGAGTATAATTTAGGTAACTTTTATTTACGTGTTTTCTAATATAATAAAATGCAGTAAGAAATGGAATTTTAAATGCAGAAACTTTTTTAAAATTCAATTTATCAGAAATTATTCGACTGGTTTCGTGTATAATATTGTATTTAGATACATAAAATTACATTCTTTCAAATAAGGCAAAAATTTGGGCACCTTACAATTCAAAATTATTATATCAGATAAATAAATATGGAAATACGATAAATTTCTTAAGTGAATTTTTATTATCGAAGTTGGCTCAATGCTAACTGGTTTACCTGTTGATTCGTGTGGAGGCTTTCTGTTAATGACAGCAATTAATGTTAACGACTGCATTTAATGACATAATAGGATGTCATATGATCATCATCATACGTCATAAGATATCATTTAATGGCATCATATGCTTTTCTTAAGAGTTCATTAGAATTTTAAGTTTGAAATTAAAAAATAAATGAATTATAGAAAAACATTATTTCAAATCATTATAAAATCAATTTAATACGAAACATCTTAATGATCCAAATCACCCATTCATAAATCACGAAGAAAATAAAACTGAAAACAAATTTATAAATTGCAGAACAAATTTATAAATTTAAGGCCTACTTCATCAAAGTGAAAGTAAAAAAGTATATATGAACATTAGGGCTCGCAAACTTATATTTTATCAAAGAAATAACAGGTGCGCTATGGAAATCTGTGGGTATGGAAATGACTGCTAAAGAAGGTGAAAAAAAAACATCAAAGCCTGCTTGATGGTCTCAGGGAACTCAGAGGAGTTAAAAGACGGTTATTAGCAATGCTTCCAAATTTCATCAGACAATCAAACTGGTTCACATATTTTTCATACCGACTTCCTCAGCTGTTATTTGGCGGACTCCGATCAGGCCTTTTTTTTTATCTTGCTTAAATATTAATTTACGATCTTTTATACGCACATTTTGGACTTCAAATTTAACAATATATATTAAGGGAGGTTATTATATTTTTAGATTATTAAAGGGTGAAAAATAGTTTAGTGAAACACTCGAAGAAAATTGATAAGAAAGTTTCATTAAAATAGACATAAAATAGAATAATGATTTAAAGATTAAATTAAAAAAGCAATGTTTTTCTTACCTGAGATATCATGGTTGATTTATTTTTTTAGTTCCAGTAGTACTACTCGCAGAAAAACATTCGCTTTTTATATTAACTTTATCTAAACATTTAAATTAGTATTCATGGATGATTAATCAAACATTTGAATAATTGAATTTTATTTTTCGGAAAAGCCTCAAGCTACACAATTATTCCAAAATCAAGGTTAAAAAAAAGAGAAATGATTTCGCTATCGAATACCGATAATTCCAAGTAAGAGAATTTCAAAACAATAAAAGAAGTATGTAAGGAATATTTTAAATTTTTCTAGTTATTTAAATTTCACTGCTTAGGTTAGAATTGAAGTTTAATTGGTGGCCTTTTCATTATTAATTTAAAAACTAACCTCTGATTAATTGCTTTACTTACTATTTCTCGTAGTCCTCTTTTTTCTTTCCTTATTTAAAAAAAAATCATAATTGATTTTGTAATAGTTACTACATTATGACAAAAAAAAGTTAATTAAACTCATCTTTAACGCCCGCATTTATAACATGTAAGCATAATGCTATAGCAAAGGCTTATACTACACCTGTTAAATAATCGCATGTATACAACGTGTAATGCAATAAAATTTATTTATAATGCTCATAGTAAAATAGCATGTACATAAGATATGTAGTATAATAACATATATGTAATAACCTATATTTAATTACTTATGACTTAAACATGTTTATTAGCTTATAATGCAGTTTGAAATAAGTATTGGGAGTACAAATCAGGTCGGTACGTTTTCAAAAGATGGCACTGGCTGTTATGAATGTTTCATAGTGACAGCTGGTATCGGTGGATTCAGAGAGGTTAGACATCTGTCATTAATGTTCAGTTTATATCGCTTTGAGTTTCATACAGAAACCCTGTTTCTTACTTTGTTGAATATGTCAAATTTTGTGGTAACTAAGCAGCATTTGCGGGAGGTTTTATGTTTCTGCTTTAATTGGAAGAAGAGTGCAGCTGATGTGCATCGAATGCTTGTCGAAATTTATGGTGACAATGCTCCAACCGATAAATCATGTAGGGAATGGTTTCGACATTTCAAGAATGATGAATGGAGTTGTATACTATGAGCTGCTATAACCTGGCGATTCCATTACAGGCGATCGGTACAGGCTACAATTGTTTCGTTTGAGCCGTGCATTTCGAGAAAAACGGCCGAAATACGAGCAAAGACATGACAAAGTTATTCTTCTGCATGTAACGGTAGACCTCATGTCTCAAAAGTCGTCAAAATTATTTGGAAACACTCAAGTGGGATATTTTACCGCACCCGCCACATTCACCGGACATTGCTCCTTCTTATTACTGGTTGCTCCGATGGATGCAGCACGATTTGGCAGAATACCGGTTCACTTCTATCGCAGAAATCGAACTTGGATAGCCTCAAAAGACGAGGCAATTTTTCAAGATGGAAATTGAAAATTGCCTGAGAGGTGGGAAAAAGTAGTATTCAGAGATGGACAATACTTTGATTAACATGTTCATTCATTTTGTTCTGAAATAAATGCATTTTTGTCCGCAAACAAAAGGACCGACTTAATTTGTACTCCCAATAGTTTCAAATATTTTTTTCTTTCTATTTATGAAATATTGAAAGATAAGTTCGCAAAATGTTGTCATTGTTATACTTTGTAAGGCTTTTTTATGTTGAATATTTTTTGTACATGACAAAGCGAAATGATCGTCTTGATAGACTAATGTACGGGGAAAAAATATAAATTCAGATCAACTTTTATTCTGGCACACTCTCAGAAATAAAACTCGTCCTTTTGACGATTCTGCAATCCTTCAGCAGCATTTTGTTAATCAGAGAATCATTTTGACACAAAATCACGGGATGTATGATGGAGCGTGAACTCTCAAATATGTGACGAAAATGTTTCCTTAACTTGGAATCTCATCGCAAAGCATTGTGTGAGATGTATTAGTGCGACGCAACAAGAATGAAGACTATATGATCGAAACTAGAATGCTGACATTAGCTGGCCGTATTGACTGGTGATCTAGGAGAAAAATCCATGGCTCGAATATCCCACTTCAGGCTTTGATTTAATTTACCTCTCCGTTATATTTGTCCGTGTTGGGGTGACATCGATGCACCTACTTAGTACCTCCAAAAAAATAATAGACAATGCCACCCGTATATATATATACTAATTGAGAA